GGACATGTTGAATGGATTTGAGCTCAAATTGCCACCCCTAATCATAATTATACCTATTTGCTAAAGCTCATTATGGGGCTAACTTGATACTCCAATTGTTCATCTTTATCTTTTTATTTTGTTCAAAAAGAATGATCATTTCTAAATGTGAAAATAACTTAAGTAAATTTATTTATTTATCTTTAATGACACACATTTTATAGTCATATGGAGAGAAATAATTTAATTTGATTTATGTTATGTGTCTTGGTCTTTCTATCACATGGAAGATGGCTTTATTACCAAAGGGTGTGGTGAAATGGACGTGATTACTCTTCCCTTAATCAGAGGTCTCGGGTTTGAGTCCTGGGTATGGAAAAATACTTGGTAGGGAGCGCTTTCACCGAATGGGGCATTACGCGGTGCGAATCCGGATATAGTCAGGCTCCAATGTAGGTTCCGGACACCGGGTGAGAAATAAAAAAAAAAAAGGAAGATGACTTTAATTAAACTAAAAAACAAAGTCTAAGCCAAAATTTTAAATAGAGAAAAAAAAGAAGGAAAAGTTTCTCCCGCAAATAGAGAAAAAGGAATCTTTTAAATAGAGAAAATCAACCGTCACCTCCTAGTCATCATCCTATTCTTACTAGTTAGTCATCAGCCTACCAAATATATAGGATTTAATCACGGAGTGAAGTAGTTCTCATTTGTTGGCGTTTTTGCTCATCTTATTGCTACTACAATGAATGCTCTTGCTGCTACCAACCGCAACTTCCGTCAAGCCGCTCGCATTCTTGGGTTGGACTCCAAAATTGAAAAGAGTCTTTTGATTCCTTTCAGAGAAATTAAGGTACAATTAACTGATGTATATTAAAGTTTCTATCTTCTTGACGATTTTGATGTTCTGTTTAATTTTTTCATATTAAACTCTTTTCACTCCAAAAAAAAAAAAACAGAAAAAATGGAATTCTGATGGTAGGTTGACGGTGTTTTGATGTTGGATCAGGTGGAATGTACAATTCCTAAGGATGATGGAACGTTAGTTTCGTACGTTGGATTCAGAGTACAGCACGATAATGCTCGGGGTCCTATGAAAGGAGGAATTAGATACCATCATGAGGTTTGTTTCTATGCTTCTTTTTGTTTTTTCTTTCTATTTTCTATTTTTTGGGTCTTTTTTTAATGTGTAACTTTTTGTATAATCCTGTCAATGCTTATTGTTTATCTTTTGTTACACTGCACCCTTTTCTTTTTTTGATAAGTTACTGTGCACCTTTATAGTTAGATTTTGCATTTCCTGAGAACTTTGTGCCTAAACAAATTAGGTCGCATAAACATAGGATATTAGTACACTACTGATTTCTGATTTTGTATAGATTGCAGCGTGTGTTCTATTCCACGTATGAGAAAGCTACTATTTATGATGAATTGGAAGGTTAAATCCACCAATATCATTGCATTTGAATCTAATTATATGTTTAGTTTCTTTGATGATATCAGTTCCTGTTAAAGGAGAATATTTGAATCTTAGCTATACTACTCTAGATATTGGTTTACTGCTTATATGTGTTTCGATGGGCGATAAGATTTCCTTAATGCTTTCAGACACTATCGGTTGCTAGATGGTTGACTATTGATGCTACATTCTAATAAACCAAATGCAATTATTTAGCATTGCAAAAAGACAGAGGAATTGTTAGGAAGATTCACACAACCAACCCCTACTAGTTTGGAATTAAGGTGTACTTGATCGATTATCTTGATAATCAGCTCATGTTATTTGGTTTAGCATCTCTGTCTGAAGAATTTTTTTTCTTTAGAAGTTAATATAAGTTGAGTACATGTTATCTACAAGATCACGATCAAGCAAGTCCTCTACCATGTCATGATTCCTCCAATATATTCCTTTCAAATTAGTGCATTTCAATGTCAAACTCCACTCCTTTCTTATTTATTTATTTATATATTTTTCATAGTTTTGCTGGTATCACCGAATAGCATTCTTTATTCTGTGCTGAGATGTTGTAAATTTTCTACAAGGTTGAGCTTGATGAGGTAAACGCCCTTGCTCAACTGATGACTTGGAAGACTGCTGTAGCCAACATTCCATATGGGGGAGCTAAAGGTGGAATTGGCTGTACCCCAAAAGATTTAAGCGTGAGCGAGTTGGAGCGACTTACTCGTGTTTTCACACAGAAAATTCATGATCTAATTGGAATTAATACTGATGTGCCTGCACCTGATATGGGCACTAACGCACAGGTTAGTAACAAAATTCTATTTGCAACTTTGTCAAAATATTATTCCTTTTGAGCTTTAGAATAAGATGCACATAATATTCTATATGATGCTTGCTATCAACAGACTATGGCCTGGATTTTGGACGAGTACTCAAAGTTTCATGGTCACTCACCTGCAATTGTGACTGGAAAACCGATTGTAAGTTTTTCATACCTTTCGAGACTTCTCCTATTTAGCTAAAATTAGAACACCTTTATGTATGACTTCTCTATTCATCCTTTTTTCACCTTTTGTTTAGGATCTTGGGGGGTCATTAGGTAGGGAAGCTGCGACAGGGCGTGGTGCCGTTTATGCTACAGAAGCTTTACTTGCTGAATATGGGAAGAATATCAAGGATTTGACTTTTGCAATTCAGGTAGAATCTGCAATTAATCAGTTCTAGCACATTCCATTTCCTTCGCCTGGTTATGCCACAGTATTTGGTCAAAATGATGTGATAAATATGTATTTGGATTCCGTAGGGATTTGGAAATGTAGGAGCGTGGGCAGGAAAGATCATTCATGAGAGAGGCGGCAAGGTAATCGCAGTGAGTGACATAACTGGAGCCATCAAGAATCCCAATGGACTTGATATACCAGCTTTGCTTAGTCATAGAGAAAAAACAGGGAAGCTCACCGATTTCACTGGTGGGGATGTGATGAATTCTGATGAATTGCTAACACATGAATGTGATGTTCTCATCCCTTGTGCTTTGGGAGGTGTTTTGAACAGGTTCAACCTTTATCTTGCTCTGAAATTTATTGTTTAGTTCTTCGAATTTGCTTCTGTGTCGAGACAATGGAGAACTCAATATCAGTAGTTCGTGACTTTGTAAGTTGGATACTCCATGACACATCCATCTCATCAGCTGAAACTAATAAAGACCACATTAGCAGCAACATTAATTTTTCACTATAAATGATTTCATATGTAGCAGATTTTATACTAGAATATGCTTCCATTAATTGATTGTACATGTATTTACTTGGGTTTTATGTTACCTTATGTTACATTCAGCAAAACTAAGTCTTTTGTTCTCCGTTCCAAAATTATTCAGGCATATGCTGCAGCCAATAAAAACTTCTCCGTTTTGTTTGTAATGAGATAATGGGAAAAGAAGTTGCTGGTTGAATGTTTTTATTTATACTGTCTTTATTACTTAGCCATCTTTGTGAACTAAATGCACCTAATATAGAGTATCTTAATTGTCCTTGACGGTTCTGATCTTTTTGTTTGAAGAGAAAACGCTGATCATGTCAAGGCTAAATTCATTATAGAAGCAGCAAACCATCCTACTGATCCAGATGCTGATGAGGTACCACTTTTTTTTCCGGTATTTTGAGTCTTTTGGACTAGCATGATTATAGTTTTTCACATACAATTGCCTTCTGCAGATTTTATCTAAGAAAGGAGTAGTAATACTACCTGACATTTATGCCAATGCTGGAGGTGTGACTGTCAGTTATTTTGAATGGGTTCAGGTAACTTTTGATATTTATGCCTCCCAGATATTTTTGTCATTACACCAGATAGCAGCATGAAGGGTTTATGTTAACAAGTATTTTCGCAAAACGCATTGAAAGATGCAATAGTATAGTTAATTGGAAATCTTACATCTTTAGCAAGCCAGTTTCTGTAAAGTTATTTCCTGAGAAAATATTAGTAGTTACTAAGTTTGTTGACAACTTTAAGAAAAAGAACTGAGATGTTGAGGCAATTTGAAGTTTTGTTCTTAATATCTTCTCTGATATACAGAATATTCAAGGATTCATGTGGGATGAGGAGAAGGTTAATGCGGAGCTTAAGAAATACATGACAAGAGCCTTCCATAACCTCAAGAGCATGTGTCATTCGCACAATTGCAATCTTCGGATGGGTGCCTTCACATTGGGTGTGAATCGGGTTGCACGCGCCACACAATTAAGAGGTTGGGAGGCATAACTGCACTTTTTTTACCGCACAATGCACACATCCTGCAGCAGAAAGTTCGCACCGTCTTTCTCCCAAGTACAAATGCTAGAATGCTCTACAAACTGAAATGTGTACTTGAGACATTTTATTCATTATTCAAATAAAAGAAAAAAATAACTCGTCAATTGCTTTGGAATTCTGTACTTTTCATCTGGTAACTTGGAGAATTTGTCCCTTGTCGCCATTCTTAGGGGTTCAGGTGCTTAACCGTCATTTCTCTCATTTTCTAGCATGAGGGATGCCTTTTATGGAGTAAATTTTACTAAGGGCATGTTGAATGCATATTGTTGCATTTGAACTTATTCTTCATCTTCACTTTTGAAATAGTCAGTTAACCGCTGATAGTAGCGTATCTAGTCAGGGACGGATGAAGAGTTGACGATATAGGTTTGGTAGAACCCAGTAGCTTGGCTTAAACCCTGTATTTATCTTAAAAAATTTATTTAGTATATATAAATTATTTATTTAGAACTTAATAACTCGATCGAGCTAGAATGCAGAACCCATAAACTTCAAATCTTGGATCCGTCTTTGTATCTGGTGCTATCAAATGACAAATATACCATAATTATATGGAGATACATACTAAAGGCGGCCAGGGGCGGATGTGGCCCTATAACACAAGGTTCAATTGAACCCATAATTTCGACGCGGAACACAAATTTATGTGTAAAAAATCACTAAAATCGCAACAAATTATATGTATAAACCCATAACTAACAGGTTTTCCAAAATTTCTACTCCAAACTCATTGGGGTTCAATGCCCTAAAAAAAAATAGAAGATGCTGATTCAGCGGCGGTGCCATTAATTTTATCCCTCTATTTAATTATTTTCCTTAAAAAAGTCACCAGAAGTGGAAGTAGATGTTGTCAGGAAGATATGGGTTGCCATGCCCATGATGTTGCAGAAAAGAGTTGCAGAATTAGATAAGCTTTATTTATTTCAGAATGGGCCTTCCTAACACCACATCTCATTCAAGAGGAGAAGAGTAAGTTTGAGCCAAACCAGAGATTACTTACAATTATGGCTGCTGTTGCTGTTACTTCATTTACACACACAGCTTACAGCTCTCATCACTTAAAGAAGAAACAATGGCCTCAAGCCAAGTGCATGAAGATTACCAATGTCATGACTCCAAAAGTTGAAGCAGAAACACACTTAAACGTTGTTGAAATTAAAGACAGATCTTCTTTGCTGATTGATGATAATGTCAAGCCCACAAGAAAGAATGAAACACAAGACAGTACAGGTACAGAATCTCAAGTCCTAAGGTTTTCGGACGAGCGATGGAAGAATGGGACATGGGATCTCAATATGTTTGTGAAAAATGGCAAAATGGATTGGGATAGTGTCATAGTTGCAGGTAAACAAAGAACAACTCTTTCTATTACTAAAGCACAAAGATTGTTTAATTTATTCATATTAATAATGTCGCAGAAGCACAGAGGAGGAAATTCCTTGAACTTTTCCCAGAAGCAGCAACAAACCAAGAACCTGTGGTCTTTAGAAGTTCTGTTATACCATGGTGGGCATGGATGACACATTCTCACCTCCCTGAAGCTGAGCTGCTAAATGGTTTACATTTTATATCTAATAAATTCATAGAAATTCAACTTAAATTTAAAAAAAAAAAAAAATCTGTACTATTACTAATATAGTAAATTGATGATTTTACAGGAAGAGCTGCAATGGTGGGATTTTTCATGGCCTATCTAGTGGATGTTTTAACAGGGCTTGATGTTGTAGGCCAAATGGGTAGTTTCATATGTAAAACTGCTCTCTTAGCAACAGTTGGAGGTGTAATTGTGTTTAGGAAAAGGACAGATTTTGACAACTTAAAGAAGCTAGCTGATGAAGCTACATTTTATGACAAGCAATGGCAAGCGTCATGGCAAGATCAACCTTCTACAAATGGTGATTCAAAGCAACAAAGGAAGTGAATTCTTTTTTTGTGTTTGGGATGATATTGACTTCTTATATTGTACCTGTGCAATCAAAATGCCATAGTTATATACAAGAATTATGTTATATTCCGGCTACTTGTTGAGAAATTTATACCCTCAAAATTTGTACTAGAAGTACTTACTTAGCATAACATATATGTTTACCCGAAAAACGGATAGAGTTGAATTTGTACGTAGTTCTAAGGATATGTGGTATAGCTTAATACAAATCGTAAGGATAAATAGAAATATCAAATATGGATTGCAAAGAATGCAAAATAAACAAGGTTGGAAAGAAGATGATTTTTAGGACTAAGCAAGATGAATCAATTTATGAAACTTAAAAGAATAACTCTTGAATACAGGAGAATATGATGCTTGAATTACAATGTAAGCAAAGAACTATGCTTTACAGAAATGTAGCCATACTCTTTATAGTGGAGGATCCTACTTTTAGATATAATTAAAAATACATAGTGGGAGACCCATGATAAATCAGTTTTTCCATAATTTCTGCCAGGATTCTCTCCTCTAGTGGGATTGCAACGACTCTTGTCTGTGAGCTCGATATTGTCACGCCCCAACCTGGGGAGGCGTGGCTGGCACCCGGTTCCGTACTAGCCCGAGCGAACCACTTTGTAACTCTTTTTTTTTTCTTCTGCAACTATCATGGGCCAACATGGTCACCACTTATAATATACAATTATAAGTGGGCAACCGTTGTATCAATGAACCATCGTTCTTAAAACATGAATACATATGAGCCGTCAGGGCCTCTGACATACTGTACAAAATGAACCTCTGTCTACAAAGCTTCTAAGATTATGCGACATCAAATGGGACAGGGTACCGGCCTACCCATAAGTCTGTAGCAAAACTCTGACCCGATGACTCATAGACACGGCTGCACTCCGAATGAGGTGGAGTCTTACCGATCCTTCGCTGAATGCCAATCTCGTTTACTATGAGGACTCATCAAACTGATTATCTATACCTGCAGGCATGAAGGCAGCGTCCCCAACAAAAGGACGTCAGTACGAATAATGTACTGCGTATGTAAGGCAGAACTGAAACATAACAATAAGTTAACATTAATTAAAGACATATAAGAATCAACTTGAATCTCTGAAGTGCCACCGTATATGCATACTTATTATACTTACATATATACAATGTTTCTCTTGGAGACTATTATCCATATCGTATGATGCATGACTGCCCAATTGATCAGTGGTAACTGCCCGACCGGCCGTACCTCGGTGGTAAATGCATATGTGTGACTGCCCAACAGGTGGTAAATAATGATACATAACTGCCCAACCGGTGGTAACTGCCCGACCAGCCATAACCCGGTGGTAAATGCATGAAGATGCATGTACATGTATCACTATATTAAAAACATTAACATCTTTATCAAATACCTCAATAAAGATTTAGGAACATACTTAGACATACTTGAATATCACTTTACCGGAATGAATAACATAGGCATCCTTAACTGCTAAGAGTATAACTACTTATGGAATAGCATTATATTTGCGTATCGTTACTTAGATCATGCCAAAAGAAAGGAAGATTAGCCTTAACATACCTGAGACGATTCTCTTGACAATCCCTCTAACACACGTCTTTTGCGAAAAATACGTAACGGCGGATCGAAGTAGGGAAAAACCCGTATGATATTATCGAGAAAGATTGCACGGTACTCCCTTAGAATCGCAAAATCTCACATTGCTTAAGATGCTATGAAATTAAGTCCTCCATCATGGAATATTGGGTATGTCTGTTTTGGGCTTGGGGATGTGGGTTTTTTTCTGGAATCCATGAAAAAGAAGAATCACAACGGATATTTTTACTTGGCCTTTGTTCTTGAAAGTTTATGGAGGAGTTGAGGTTATTGGCTATGGCTATTTTGGGCGTGGGGATGTGGGGGTTCCATGAGAAACAAGAACGAGCTCTACTGGACGGATACAAGTTGGATTGCATGAAATTTAGTTGAATTCTCAAGAGAACGGCTCTTGAAATTTCAATGGTTTGTGTTTTTTACATTGAGATAGAGAACGGCCAGGGTTCACTAAACACTTTAGATGACTTCGGTTCTTAAGACTTTGCCAAATCTCACGTCTCAATTCTTGCCACATAATATAATGACTTTAAGAGTGACCATTCCCATAAGGTAAGGCTGTCACGTTAATCTTTATCCCAAAGATTTTAATTTTTTAATTAATCTAATCACCAAAATCATTAAATAATCCAATTATCTACCTCAAATTACTTAAAATACTTCTTACTTTTAACATACTTTATATACTCCACTATCATGGTCATGTGGTACCATATAAAATAAATACATACACTATTATTTCAGTAAAACATCCATGTAAAAATACATATATTTTCTCAACTTATAATTTTCCTAATCTCATATAAAGAGTAAAAATCCTCGTACACTTAATTCTTAAAATGGTAAAAAAAGATAATCTTCTTTTCTTGTGAGAAAATAATTTTTATCTTTACAATAAAGAAAATCTCATAAACTTTCTCATATTCTGTGTATAATTTAAAGCATATTCGAAAGTAGTAATATTAATAACTACATAAAATTATATTTTTCAAACTTTTTTTTTTTTCAAAAATGTTCCACTCAAAATACCATATCAAATGTATATAACGATATCAAGGTTGTTAAACTTACGGGGTCTTACAATAACATAGTCACAAATCCTCTATAATCTCATGAATGGTCTTAATCCCTTCAAGCACATATGGATTACTATGACTTATCCTAATATTAAAGTACGGGATGTAACCGATATTAACTCGAGTTTTCGGTCTTGACTCGAGCTCGATTTTGACTCGGGTCCCTATATTGATTCAGGATCAGTGCTGGTCGGTTTATGAATCATAAGCTCGATAACTTTACTTTATATCATAGTTCGATTTGTATTCGAGCTTGATAATAACATCGAGCTCGACGTTGATCGGTCCTTCGGGCTCGAAGCTTGGTGACCTGACTTCGGACCTCAACCTGATACTATGAAGACGCTTCTCCGATCTAATGTATTACCATTTAAACCAGTTCGTACGAAGGACTAACCGATTTTTACCATATATAGATAGTCCCCTCGTTTCTCGAGAATAATGTAGTGAGAAACGACATGATTTCACAATGGCTCGATCAGATATAAGCTGACGTTTGCATCGAGCCCGGCCATGACGTACGTGATAGATGTCCGTCGGCTTAGCTTCCCAAGGCATTTAATGCTTGTCAGAAGGTGGGCGGCCATCACTGATATTGAACCGCCATTGCTTCAATCTTTAAATAGCCCTTCCTTTCACCATTTATCACTTTTACGTCTTCAATCTTCCAAATTTTCTAAGTACCTTTTCGTCTCTTCTGAGTTCATTCGTAAATCTGTGATTCTTTTCTGCAAAATTCTTCTTAAAAACCATCAAATCTTTATCACCTTCTTTAAATCAAAAATGGTGAAGACATCAAAAATAGTCCCCCAAAAAGAAAAAGCTTCTTCTTCCCAATCCGCCGCCGACAAAACACTGGTGGATCCACGTCCTGAGGAGTGCGTTCCGGCGGCGTGTGTTCTTACCTTCGATTTCAAACTCGATAAAGGTTTACCGGTTTTCGGCCGATGTGAGCCCGTATCGAGATATATTTGTTCGATAACCGGGGGGGTATATCGAGCAGATAAAAAACGATTATAACTGGGGGAACAAAGAAGTGGTAGTATCGTCTCCCTAAGAGGATATTACTACTCACGTGAAAGGGTTTTTAAGTATGTACACTTACCCTTTCACGTTAGGTCCCCTCGACCCTGTTATCATAGATTTTTGTCGTAAATACCTAATAACCCTAGGCCAGATTCACCCTTCTTTTTGGCGGATCATTATTTTGATCCGATACTTCGTGAACAAAATTGAGGGGATGCCTTTCACCCTCGATCATCTCATCTGATTGTACCGTCCTTGCCTTTTTCGAGGAGGGTTAATAAAACTTCAGCGTCGAGCTACCAAGGCTCTGTTCTCGAGCATAGACGAGGACAAGGATCGAGGCTGGATGGGCAGGTTCGTCCGAGTAAGGACTTCAGACCTGATTCCGACTGAAAAGATGCCTTTTCCCGAGGAGTGAAACATGAAGCGTAAGTGTAATTCTGCTGTTATTTCCTACTATTTTGCCTTTTCATTTCTTTTCTTGCCGATATCCCTTTTTTGTAATACAGCGGTTCCCTGGATGCCCGACACAGTTCCCGATCTCAAGAACTGGATACGGGATCTGGCTTCGACCTCCACATATGTCAAGCGCTCATGGCATGACTTGTCGAAGGGCCGATGGGAGGCCAAAAATCACGGTAAGCCCCTTTCTCGTATTTTTTGGTAGTTTTAACGAAATGCTTTCCATATACTTTTAATAAATTTTCCCGTATGTAGGTGTGGGCAAAGATGCAGTTTTGAGGTCCTCGTCCATCGAGGAATAGGCTTCGGCCTCTGTTCCAAAGCGGGTGAAGGAAAATAAAAAGAAAAGGGCCTCCGTTCACGAAGATCCAAAACCGAAGAAGAGGACGGCTCGTAAGCCGAAGAAGAATGCCATTTCTTTGACTTTAGAATCAGTTCTGCATCTAAGGGATGAAGACGAAGAAGAAGAAGAAGAAAACAACGGGTCCGCACTGGCGGCCCGAAAGAAGAAAAGCATTGATTCCCCAAAGGCGACTGAATTTATGGTGATTCATAAGGCTCCGCCTCAGACCTAGGAAATATCAGAGGAAGGTTTAGGCAAAGTTCTCGAGTCATTAGTGATCGAGGATGCTTCCTACCGAAGCCAACAAACGGTGGTTACATCGGAAGGGGCCGGTCCTGAAGTTCCCCAAACCGAGGAGAACGCCCCAAGCGAGTCACCTGGGGCAATAGTAATCAGAGATTCGCCCACTCTCCCTTCCTTTTCCGAAAGGGCTATTCGGGAAGCCCAAGCTTTGGGGGCCCTTGAGATGAGTCGGTCTCACGAAGGGGAGGACCCTTTCCGTGATCTCTTTACGGGGGTCGAGTATGCTGCTGGCCCTAG